CCTTCAACCAACCCAGTGCCACCAACCTAGTACTTTAACTTTGCAGCATTGGTGGTGAAAGCAAATGAATCTATCCACACACTATTAAATCCTCTATTCTCCTCCGAGACTTTGTCTTTTTTTGGATTTGGAATCTATAGCTAGCCTCGCTAAAGAGACTCTGCTACTAAAGTTCTGCAAAATTTAGAGGAAAAGCACCAGGTCGTAGAAGTATGATGCACATTTTAGCTAATGAAATGTTTTTTAAATCAATGTACAGGCTGCACATTTTTACAGTTGTAGAATGCAATAATCCCTTTAGGCCTCCAACATTACTGTTATTATTTTCAGATAACCAGAGCCGCAGGATGCCTCCCCCTGATCTGTGTAATCAGCACAGTTTCAAGATGGACACCCAAGATTAGTGTCACCAGTTCGGTATCTGACCAAATGTCTCCCATTGTTTTCCTGAGATATGACACTGAATAATGGCCAGAAAAGGGGTTTATGCAGAACATTGTGATGTCACAGTAAAGCTGACCTTTGACCTTTTGGAGATAAAATGTCATCACTTGATCATTTTATCCTGTTAGACATTTGTGTGAAGTTTTGTCATAGTTAGCTTATGAATTCTCAAGCTGTGGCCAAAAACATGTGTTGTGAGGTCACTGTGACCTTTGACCACCAAAATCCAATCAGTTCATTGTTGAGTTCACGTTGATGTTCGTGCCAAATTTGAAGAAATTCCCTCAAAGTGTTCCTGAGATATAAAAATCAGACTAAGTTGTGCACTGGAAACAGTTATTAGATTAATGACACACTGACTGAAGTTATGATTACTCTGATTTTGGCTTAGAATTACTGCTGATTATCATTTGACACAATGTTCAATACTGGTGACAACACAACATCTTTGTTTTGGAAACACCACCACTATATACACTGTTTATACAGTACACATACAAATGCAGCTTCTAGCCTGCAAAAGACAGACATCGTCCTCTGATCTTTGCAAGTGAGAAACGAGCCAACAAGATATGCCTTCCTTAAAACAAACATTTACGCATTTAGGAAAATAAACTAAACTTTACTAGTCATGATTTAATTTGGTAAGTAACAGTCAATCTGAGGCTACATTTTGCTCTGATTAGATGATGCTCCATTATTGTAATATTAGACCAAGTATTTACATAATACTGTACATTCACATTTGTATGGTGTTTGCATTCCAACAGAAAACCATCACTAACTAAATCCCATGCACCACAAACAAAGACCGACCCCTCACATCCTCAGACACATGATACAGTGAAACTTACCTTTGATATGAAATAATTAGGCTTTGACAGCTATACTTTTGTCTGTTTTATGGACAATCTAAGTCGTTGTCAAAAGGTGCTGCTTTAATAGAATTTTAAATCTTGCGTTTGTTCATCTGTCCGTCCCATTCTTGCAATATCTCATGAACGCCTTGAGTTAATTTCTTGAAATTTGGCACAGATATCCAATGGGCTCGAGGATGAACTGATTAAATTTTGGTGATCAAAGGTCAAAGTCACTCCGACCCCACATCCGTCCTGTTCTCGTGGACAAATGAGGAAATTTCTTCAAATGTGGACTCAAGGGTAAACTGATTAAAGTCTGGTGGTCAGGGCCACTGTGACCTAGCACAACATGTTTTTGGCTGTAAGTCAAGAATTCATGAACACAGATGTCTAACGCAATAAAATTATGAACTGATGATATTTTATATCCAAAGGATCAAAGGTCGACTTCACTGTGACATCATAATGTTTTGCAAAAACATTTTTCGCATCATTACTCAATGTCATAACTCAAATGGCTTTGAATACTAATAGCTCAAATTAGGTCTGCACGGAGGTGTAGTGGTTAGCATTGTCACCTCACAGCAAGAGGTTCCTGGTTTCTGGTTTGAATCCTGGGGTGGGGGAGCCCTTCTGTGCAGAGTTTGTATGTTCTCCTCGTGTCAGCGTGGGTTTTCTCCAGGTACTCCAGCTTCCTCCCACAGTCCAAAGACATGCAGGTTAATTGGTGACTCTAAATTGTCTGTAGGTGTGAATGTGAGTGTGAATGGTTGTCTGTCTCTATGTGTCAGCCCTGTGATAGTCTGGTGACCTGTCCAGGGTGTACCCTGCCTCCAGCCCCCTTGTGACCCCCAACAGGATAAGCGGTTACGGAAAATGAATGAATGGATGAATGAATGGTCGGGTACTGACTTGGTGACACTAATCTTGGGTGTCCACCTTTAAACTGTGCTGATTGTATAGATCTTCTGTTGGAGATGTGACACCTAATACCTTTAATTAAAGGCGCTGTATGTAAGAATGTGGCCAAAACGGTTACTGCACTCAAATTCAAAATACTGCCGCGAGTCGTGTNTACAGATTCGAGGTTGCTGGACAGCGGCACGCTGGAGACTGATTTGTTTGCCCATGGGCGGCTGCCGTGGCAGGGCCGCGTCGCCGCATCCTTGATCTTCGGTTTTCCAGCGGACCAAGCTTCTCTTGGCTTCTCTTGCTAACGCTGCTGCCGGGATACAGCTGAGGAGAAGCCGGCTGCTCATGCTATGTACCGGGACACTGCTAATGCTGCTTGCCATGCTGCTGTAGCTCAGTCGTAACTGTAACTGATGCTGAGACTCTACTGACTGCGTGACTGGTAGACGGTGGTGGGTGGCGCAACAGGCCAAAACACAAATTCAAAACATAAACATGATTTGCGGACTGTAAAAATGTTTTTTAAATGCGAATATTCTGGCTGTACTATTGTTGTCAGTGAGATCAGTATGTTATATGAACATTATTCCTTAGTCTCTGTGACATATTAGGAGGATTTTACGACTATTTGCTTTAGATTTCTTACATATAGCTCTTTTAAACTGCTTCAGAGTTGTCACTACATATATTATATGAGTCTGAATAGACTGCAACTTGATTGGTATATAGCAAAAAATATTTTTTGCTATATAGTGTTTTTTTAATGTATGTATTTATTCACAGGCAAACAAAGCCGGAAAGTCCTACAAAGTCCCCCTGAGCACCTTTTACGTAGAGGAAATCAGTGGTAATGTGCCCATCACAGACGTCGCTCTTTGGTGGCGTTTTTCTAAAATGGAGGTATGAACACATGTTACACACAGTATGCCACACTGTGTTAAATTGTTTTATGGGAACAGTCAGTCCTGAATGCTTTTAATTTTCAGTTGGACTGCTTATTACTGAAATAAGCTATTGTAAATCATTGACTGTTTTTCTTAAAGGATGATGAAAACACACCCGCCATTTTCTGCCGCTACCCATTCCTGTTCACTCTGGTTTGCAAGATGTCCGTCTTTAACATGTTTGCAACTGTAGCAAAGGTACAGTATGTGTAAAAATAAATTGTTTCTTAATTTGAGCATTCGTATTAAAGAATATATATCTTGTACTCTATAATATTACTCAAAATTGTTTTCTATCTGTGAGATATTTATAAAGAGATTTTTAACGAAGGGTTTTGAAATTACAGGAAGCACAACATTTCATGCATCAAATGGCTTTAATGCATCCTGAAAAAGACTCTGCCCCAGCCCCGATCTTCCAGCTAACTCTGAGACGAGCTCATCTGGTCGAGGACACCTTCAGACAGCTTGGTGCAGCCGACCACTGCGCCTTCAGAAGGGAGCTTTTGGTAAGTACGCTTAAAACCGCTGGTATGGGTAGAACATCAACAGCACCAGATCCTACACTTCCCACAATGCAACTTGAAAGCATCTGTTCCATTGCTTCAAGAGAACTCCTAACTTTATGTGTAAAATTGATTGAGTGCTCCTTGAGCAATAAGTCAACTACAGTGGACGTTTGATGTTATATTGGTAATAATTTTCCATTAAAAATATACGGACATAAATGCCTGGACACATGCCGTTACCCAATAGAAACAAAATGTTTTATTGTAATTAGAATTAGGTAAATGTAAAATTTTATTGACTAAAGATTTAGATTTGGCTGTCGATGGTAGAAATAGAGGACTGTGTGAAGGTGAGCTGTCAGAATTAGTAATTAAACATTTAGTAATTCTCTCACAAAGCCATTGGCTACAAGCAAAAACACGTATTATTTTTTCCTTCCTAGGTTAAATTTGTGGACGTCAATAAGGTGATGAATGTCCACAAAAAGGACTTCTTCCTGCATGTGTTTGATGAGCTAATGGCTCCCGAGTCTGACATGTTCATGTACAACGAGACCAAGACTCTGGCCTGGTTTCCTCCCAAGGTAAGACCAGTACATTAAAGAGAAAAGTAAAGGTGCAGCGTGTAGGATTTAGTGGCTTCCAGCACTTACATAAAAACCCCCTCTCTATCTCCAGTGTTTGGTTTGTCCTTTCTGGGCTACTGTAGAAACATGGCGGTGCAATGTGGGGGGTGTGATGCCCTGTTTTACATTTTGTAAGATAAATCCCATGTTTTCATCCTGTGAAAACATGGGATGGTAAATGGTTCATGGACATGCCCTTGTATAGCACCTTTCTAGTCTTCCAACCACTCAAAGAACGTTACACACTACAAGTCACATTCCCCCATTCACACACATATTCACTCACTGGTGGCCGAGGCTACCATACAATGTGCCAACTGCTACTCAGTAACCATTCACACACACTCACACACCGATGCCATATCCATCAGGAGCAATCTGGGGTTCAGTATCTTGCCCAGTGATACTGGAGGAGCCACTGATCGAACCGCTGATCTTCCAATCAGTGGACGACCTGCTTTACCTCTGAGGGTGAGTTACTGAATTGTACCAAATCCTAATCATGCGTTTGTCATCAACCAAACAGCCAAAAGTGGACGAGAAGACTTACTTCCTGTTTGGCGTTCTGTGCGGCCTGGCTCTCTTCAACCACAACATTATCCACATGCCCGTCCCACTGGTTCTCTTCAAGAAGCTGCTCAGAGTCAAACCCTCACTGGACGACATGAAGGAGTTTGAACCTGTCATGGCAGAGTAAGATTTAAAAATGATGCTTCTTTTGTTGTATTGCTGTTTCAATCTACAGCTATTTTAAATGAACAAAAGTACTTTTTTGTTTTACTGCACAAAGTTAAGTCGTCTGTTTGGTAGTTTTGAGTTATAACACTTTATAGTCAGTAACTCACCCCATGTTACACTGGATTTGTGAAGAAATCTGTATTTCTCGCATGCTTACACTGTGAACGAACAATCCAAAAAGATTTCTGATGAATTGAAGTAAACGGGGGCTGCATAAACAGTCTCAGGCATGGACAAATAGCACGCATGGGCAAGCATATAAGTTTGAACTTTGCTGAATGGAATGCACGAGCAGAGATCAAACCATACGCTTGCCTGTGCGTGCTACTCGTATGCGTGATCGTTTCAAATAATAGTATGGTTTTAGCAAAAGTACATGTGTTTGGGAAGTGCTGAGCATACAACTGGATAAATAAGACTTGGATTAAACTGCACAAGTTGTGTGAGAGTTTGGTCACGGATGTTTTGATGTAGTTAAACCTGCTGTCCTTTCACACCAATTCATCAAGAATTTCCTCTGTTTTTTGGATTCTTCGTTCACCATTGAGGTATGCGAGAATAACCTGGGGTTAGTTACTGATATACAACTGCTCATTATGTGTGTGTGAAGTATTCCTTCAAATTGATCTTTTGTGTATTCATTGTGTCTTCAGGTCTTGCCGGTGCATGCTGGAGGACTACACTCCCGAAAAAGTACAAAACTCGGAGATTACTTTCACTGTAGGTTTCCTTCAATCACAGCCTTCCTGACTGCTGGTGTTATTTCAAACTTGTACTTAGGGCTGAGCAATATCCATATTATATTAATATCATGATATGAGACAAGATAATGTCTTACATTTTAGATGGGCTGCATTACAGTAAAGTGCTGTAATTTTTTGACTGATCCAGCTGGTCTGTTATTTGCCTTTACCCACTTACTACAGTGCTACAATATTCTAATCTGACTGTGATCACCATTCCTTAAAGGTGCCCTGGGGTGGTGAGCAAGTTGAGCTTGATCCGACAGAACCTGGAAAACCTGTCACAGCGTTGAACAAGTATGTTTATACAGAACTGCCATATGTATCAATCTGCACAGTGCTCACAGCAGCACAGATTTAGAGTTTGCCTCACAACCTTCAAACGTCTTACAGTTTACAGTCTGTCTCTTTGGTATCCTCCCAACTTTGTAGTTATTCATCCTCATGAGTTAAAACTGTCAGCCTGTAGAGAGCAGTGCACCAATAATGTCCTGCCATTCAGGATTTCGTGTGGAGTCACTCTTGGATTATATAAGCAAGATCTCTGGACAATATCAGCACTCAGTTTGTACTATTTTAAATTATTTTTTCTTAATAGAAAAGAGTTCGTCGACGCCTACATCGACTACGCCTTCAACAAATCAGTGGAGGGAGTGTTCGAAGCGTTCAAGCAAGGGTTCTTCAAGGTGTGTGACATCGACGTGGTGGAGTTCTTCCAGCCTGAGGAGCTGCAAGCCGTGACGGTGGGCCAAGAAAACTACGACTGGGAGGTGTTCAAGAAGGTCTGCTGAAAACCAGGAGAAACTTTTGACTTTAAAATCTTGAAGAGAGTCAGAAATGCACATACAGACATTTATCTTTACAGTGATTTTAAAGTCAAATATTCCAAGTTTTATATTAACTTTTGTCCAAAGAAATCATTTCAGACAAGAATACAGTATCAGAGTATCATGTATTAGCTCATTTGTCTGTATTTTACATTACTCCCAACAGTTTTTCAATGGATACCATACATTCTCAGTTTGTCAGAGACTTGAAATCTGAGTTAAGTTCTGGACTAGTTTCTACAGTAAGGCGCTTGTGGGGAAATCACTCAAGTCTAAAGCTACCAAACAGCAACAAATTTCATATTGTTTTTTAGATTTTCTGGCAACAATTTTTATGAATTCATTGCTGTTTGGTAGTTTGGGAGTTTCCCACAATTACCTAAACTAGTCCATACCCAATGAGTGCACAGTTGCCCACATACAGTTTCACGTGGTGTGTGTTTGGGATACAGGTCATAGGAAATTGCAGATTAAATAGTCAACTGAACCCATTAAGAAGAATGTATTCAGACAGAGTTTTTGTGAATTTGATAGTACAATTGCTTTATTGAAAGTACAGTAGATTGACCACGTCAGTGAGTAGAAAAACGTGGGACAGACAGAATGACTGACTGACAGAATGACACACTGACAGTTTCTGTGGTTATGTACAGCATACCATACCATGACTTAGTCATGCCAAAAATTAGAAGAAAAAAAACCCAAAACATTTGGCCACAGGGGGAGCCACAGTGATCGGTCGCATTTTAGCCATTTTTAAGCATTTTTCTGTTGTCATAGCGCCACCCAGTTAGAGTTAAATTTCTCCAGTCACCTTGAGGCGTCCTGTTCTACATATCTACCAAGTTTAGTAAATATCGATATGGCAGTTAGGCCTAGATAAGAAATTAGCTCTCTAGTGCCCCCATTTTGTTTGATGGGGTCAATAATGGAGGGGTCCCCTCAGATTATGTGTGGTCATATGCCTACAAAGTTGCGTGGTGATCAGTGAAACCCTTGAGATGTTATACGCAAACTTCCTCGGAAGAGATCGATTTTAAGTGTTTTTCAAAAAATTCAAAATGGCGGAAAATCTATATAACCAGAAGTTATGGGTTCTTGAGACAAATTTGTTCCTCATGAGGAGAGGCATCTCTGTGCAAAGTTTCATGTCTCTGCGACATACGGGGCATGAGATATGCCCATTCAAAGTTTGCATTTTCAATCGGTTGCTATAGCGCCCCCCTTTGACCAGTTGATGTAATATTGCATCATTCGCATCCTCCCATGACCCTCTACCACTGTGCCAAATTTCACATGGATTGACCAAGTCAGTGAGGAGAAAAACATGGAACAGACACACAGACACACCCACAAACAGTTTTCGTCATTATATCGTAAGATTAAAGAGAAAAAATAAAAAGTGAAAATTAAAGATAATAATAGATAAATAAAAGATAAAATAAAATTGCTGCATCAGATGAATAAAGTGACTAAGAACCACAGAGTGGGGTAAGAAGTTAAGTCAGTCCCTCTGAATTGTAGTGGAGTTAAAGTAAAAAGAAGCATAAAATTGAAAAAATTGAGTAAAGTACAAGTGCATTAAAATGTGTAAGTACAGTAGGTGAGTCAATGTACTTACTCATTTTCATATCTATTTTTTTTTCCAAACAGAACACAGTTTATGAAGGAGTCTACCATGACAGTCATCCAAACATCGTGACCTTCTGGGAGGTGTTTGAGAATCTGACGGCAGAGGACAAGAAAAAATTCCTCTGTAAGTAAATGATTGTCCTCATTATCATCTCTCAGACCTGACTCAGTGAGGTTAGTTTCAGCTATTTGAGACATTTCTTTAATTAATCTAAGATGTTTCTGTCGCCAGTGTTCCTCACAGGCTGCGACCGCGTACCCTTCCTGGGCATGGAGAGCATCAAGATGAGAGTCGCTGTCCTCCCCGACGCTGCTGACATCCATTTGCCAGAATCCCTCACCTGCCATTGTCTGTTACTGCTGCCTATCTACGAGAGGTACCCAGTGGAGAGGACGATGCAGACCAGGCTCCTGCAGGCTATTAATCACAACAGAGGCTTCTTGAAGCAAGTAGACACAGAATGAGGCGATGAAATCTCCTTCACTAACATCGTATTTTCTGTTAGTTTGGCGCCTATTTATCTCTACAATCTGCCATATAATGTTGTGTTATCTTCAATTAATGTTGTTAAGTAAGTTCTAACTGGGGTTCCATAGTGATATTATAGTGGTGAGTTATGAAGAAGTAAATCAGCAGCCGCTGTTCTGTCATTTAGTCTGAGAAACAGTAATGCATGCATTTGTTTTTGTGCCTTTTTAATGGCTGATGCCACTTGCACATGGTATATATTGAAGTTTGTTAAGCTTACACTGATGAAGCAGCGCTGCTTGGAGTTTTGTTAAACTATTACACAGAGTTAGAACCTGTTTTTTACACATAATCATTCAGCTTTGGCGAGTCACAAAAATATGCACTGGAGGGAAAGATTGAAAAACAACATTAATACTTCCTGACACATCACATACCAGGCCAGGATGCATGAATGAAACCAATGGCATTAAGTACCCAGATCATGTAAAAGATGGATGGATATTGGGCCAAAACCTTCTCCACTTCAGTAAAGTTTTAATGCCACTGCCATTGCTTTTACTCACTGCTACATTTATTCTGAGATGATAACCTAGCTTTTTTGGCACTTAAAACCCTTACATACTAACATTAAATGTTTTTCAGTTCATTTAAGACAAGCTTAAATCTTAGGGAGACATTTTATTTTTATGTGACAAAAGAAAAAAAGTACTAAAATGTGTATAAGTCAAGGAAATGTGTATTTTTTTGCCCTTTGTTCCTTAATAACCTATTCAATAAATGGCTTTCTCTTATACTGGCTTGCAGTTATGATGATGTTGAAAATTAAGTAATTTGAATGAATGAATGACTTTATTTCAAACCGCAAATTCAAAAAACATAATAAAAACCAAACCCTTCCCTGTCACAAAACATTTTTTGAATGTTCTCGCTTTCAACATGATTATTGCAGTTTCAAATTTGACTAGATCTGTTGGTGTGTTCCCTGTGACCCACATTGTGTACTGTCCTGATTGCTCTCTTTTGAAGGATGTATAATAAGTTGCTTTTGTAAGTGTTGCCCTAAACTTCCACACAGTAAAGCAAGGTTTATGCTTCTGCGTACCTACGACGCAGAGGGCTTTGCCAAGGCGTTGTGTCCCTCTGCGACCGACACAGAGAAGCGACGTGCACCTCCAAAAAATTGTTACCATGCATCAAGGCAATGCAGACCCAATGCAAGGGCTGTGATTGGTCCTTCAAACTACATCATTTCCGGCATTTTGCAAGGTTTCACTTCCTGCTGCAGTACCACAACACCGCCATTTTCAAACGTCTCCATTGTGATTAGTTGTGTTATGAGTTTTTGAGTTTGAGGAGCATTTGTTATTCAATGTCGATCATTTTGAGCTCCAGCAACAGTCTTTCTCTCTCGGTCGCCATCTTCACTGTGACTAGAGCAAAGCCGGAAGATAAACAAAAGAACGAGCAATGACCATAGATGTCACAGAGTCTAGGTAGATCTATAAAAGAACTGCGCCCCCCAAGCACTTTGGCGGGGAATTGCATAGTGACATAGACCAACAGGACGCAGAACTATGATAGGCACACACCAACTGCAGGTTGCATCGAGTGTACACAGAAGCATAAAGAAACTTTAAGTCAAATATGATACGACAGAGCCTGGTTTATGCATGGTGTTAAACTGGCCCCATCTTTTATGAAATACTATTCTTAACTTTGCAGTGAGCAGCCTAATATCCACAAATAAAAGGTGCAAACAGTAGTGATCAAAGATTTGCGCTTCCTTCCTCTCCATAACTGGTTAATTAAAAGTCATCTCCTGTATTTCAGATTTAGCTGCAGTAGTTTATTTATTTTAAATCAAGTGAGAAAAATGATTACAAGCACATTTCAAGCACACAAAACACAACTCACACCTCAGCAGCTCCATCAGTCAGGCTTTATTTATCTGCCGTCATATCATTTCCATGGCTTGATTTGTTATGTTGTATGCTTTCAGCCTATTCTAGGGATGGTGTCCAGTCATGTTTAATCCTGAAAAAAGTGACCTATCTGCTACATTTATATTAAATGAGTCCGTTGTAATGATGCAATTTAAGAAATCCTTTTTAAATGCTTCGTCAAATATTTGGAAAAAGGTTTTATTGGCACCTCAGACAATTAAAATAAGTGTATCATAATCACAAGTTTCATCTGAGAATAAAGCAAAACCTGAATTTTAAATTATATTCCTGAATTTAAGTGAAAGTGAATCCTACCCTGGTTTGAGTTAACACTGGCTACATAAAAAAGCTGACATGGTGACTTACAAGCACATGAACGCACAACAAACTATATCAGACATTAAAATATTTCAAGTATCTGAAAGACACAAACAATCTTCACAGGGCAAACCATCCCATCTCTTCCCTTTCTTTATTCCGTCTAACTTTCAATATGAAAAGCAGTAAATAATTTACTCATTTTTTTAAAAGGATATCAAAGTCAATTCAACATTTCATAGCGACGTCCCCACCCTCGCGTCACGGCTTACACACAGTCGATATTTCTATTCAAGAGTTGTCAGGCAGCAAAGCTCAAACATGTATCAAAGCTCATACAAAAAGATTAAACATAAAATGGAGGTGGTGCTGCACCCACACTTACACACCAGTTACTGTACATTACCCTCGTCTCCGGATAAATGAGGACAGATATTTCTCTAAGCCATGAAACAAACATTAGTCGAAACAGAGCCAGTTGATCGTTTTAAACCTGGATTTGACTTTTGTTCTCGTCATTAAATGGACGGTTGAGTGAGGTTAGTGTGCTTTATCTTTACAGTCGGCTCAGAAAAATCGCATGAGATATCAGACCAGAGCAACGTCTGTGGTAATACTTTTGCTATACACATACATACATACATACATACTTAAATAGTCCTAAAAAACAAAATTAACAAATAATTACACAGTATAGAAAAACAACTTAAAGCCACTTGCTCTTGCTACATTTCTGAAGACATGACATAAAAAAAAAGACAAAAAAAAAGGCAACACTAATGTCACAGGGCTGTGCTGTGAGAGACACGGCGTAATGCCTCACATCCTCTCCTAATCGTTTCGTAGCATGTTCCATGCGTACATGGAGCGAGTCTTGTGAGTCTGTCTTTATGTCTGGGAACATGATGGGATATCATCCAGACGACTGTGGCCGCTGTGTTTCATCCAAGTCCAGCTTCTTTGATGTGTGTTTTCTTTAAGGGGGTGAGATGGCGTTCGGAGAGCCAAGTTCATCTTCTGCACAGTGAGTGTGTGGGTTTTATCTAATGAGATGGTAGGTGAGCCAGTACATGAAGATGGGTTGTGCTGCTGCTATTGACATGGTGAGGTACATCCTCAGCTGGTTCCTGGCTCCTCTCACCAGCCTCCCCTCCGCCGCCGCCTCGGATAGCAGCTTCAGACGCAAGGTGCGGATCTGAGGAGAGACACGTTGAAGATATTCTTTAATCAACCATTAAACTAACATGCCTTTATGTCAGCTGAGCCACTTACCACATGAACTGTGACATACAACAGCTCCACAATAACATCTGTCTTTGAGTAGATCATCATGTTCAGATTTTAACATCAGAGCTCGAAATACTTGAGCAGAACATTTTGAGGAGATTCTTAGCAAAACTAATATGGAAAGAGCTTAGCACTACTGCGATTGTGCAAAAGTTTGTGCAGTGGGCGTCTGTTCTCAATTATTTGGAAACAGGAAATCTGTCCATTAAGATGAGTATTTTAAACTATCAAGAGTTAGTTATTCCTGCTACTCACCATAAAGACAAAGATGGCAGCACAGCACCACAGCAGAGAGAGATAGTACGCTGGCTTCCCAAACATCAGGCCTGCTACTACCCCTACGATCATCCTGAGGACACAGAGAAGAGACACACACACAGTCACAGGTTAGGTGTAACATCCACAGAGCCTTAATGTTCAACTAAGAGAGGTTTTGTTCTGAGCAGCGTTCAAGGGAAAAATCTTGAGAAACGGCTTGAGAAACGGCTGTGCAAAATACTCAAATACAAGTGACGAGAGGAGGTGAGAAGAACAGAGGGTGAGTTGGTGATGAAAATTATATAGCGACGCTGTACATACCCAACATATTTGTAGCCAGAGAAGGCCAGCAGGTCTATGGTCGTGAGGTCGGTGTTCACGGTCACAAGGTAGAGCGACAGCAGCACTGCCAGGACTTCCATGATCAGCCACACCAACGCTGAGCTGGCCTGAACTCCCAGCAGCTCCGGAGAAAACCTGCAAGATGCACAAAATGATATGGTCACTACACAGTCTATATACTATGAACTAGCAGACTCTAGTTGTTAAATGTTGTCAGTGTGAGGTGGTATATCATTATTTATCATGTTCTTTGAGCATAAGTCTACACAAATATTTAAATTTTAGTACCATTTCAATCCACTAATTAGATTTATAATGTAATTATTTTGCAAAAAACTGAAGTGGAATCAGTGCAACACTAATTAATCCCTCCAGATTTTGTTTTCCTTCTAAGACATCACTGTCCTCTCAGCTGACACAAGCTCAACAGCACCAGAAGGCAGAGTTTTAATTGCTTTGTGGCTGTTGTTGTTGCTCTATGGGTGTGCATTAGACTGAAGAGCTACCCATAAAATGGAGCTGGCTCAAAACTAAGACGATATGTTGGTGGAAAACACCCAGGATTCAATTAAACCGACATGTAGTTATCTAGAAAGACAAAAAAACAAAGAAATCTGCTCCCCAGTTGTTCATGATCACTGCTTAGATTAGTGCGTCTTTTCCAAACCAGCATCATGTTGATAAAAACATGGCTGCATATGTACCTGTTCTGTGTGCCGAGGGCCAGGCCAGCCACCAGGACGTACGTGATGAAGCCCATGGTGGGAATGTAGAGATCAGGAGCATTCACATCGAAGCGTGGAGCCACAGGAGTGTCCTGCTGGTAACTCACCTCCCAGTTCTATAACACACACGATCACACACTTAAAACTTGCTAAATCCTTACTGACTAAACTTGGGGTGAAAACATGCAGAATTTCACAGGTGAAGTGATGAATATTACATCTGTGACTTTCATCCAACCTAACAGACTACTGTCACAAACATATGAGACATATTATGGAAGCCTCAGAGGCCCACAGAGACATAAACATGTTTCCACATGCACAGGATTACCTCTGCCTTTGCAAAGCGTAGGAATGGGAATTAAGTATCTGTTCCAGGATGTCCAATCTACTGGAATCATTTGCTTCCAAGCTTATGAATTCATGTTATCATTGACAGCATGTTTTTTCTGACAGGTGCACATAGCAAAACACTAATGTCCAACTCATGCTACTATGCTGTTAAAAACTTGAAAAACGAAGGAATGATGGTGGAGAGGAACAAACAGCCAAAAGCGCGGCTTCATTTAGCATATTAATTATGTAAAATTATAGTTTTAAATCAGGGTGGAAACATCTGCAACATACTGAAACATCTTTTTATTCAACAAATTCCAGGAATGCCATGTATTTGACATACTATGCACAAATGCCGCTGCTTCACAACCAAGAGGAACGTCCGTGACAGAGGTAAATATCCTGTTATAATAACGTTAGTGCCATGCACACAGGCTTAGCTGATTTTTTCTGAGAACCTAAATAAAAATGATTGCTGTATAAATATTATCTCATTTAATCCACTTTAGGTGATGACCTGAGTCACATGCATGCCTTCTTTATACCCTGTGTTTCTACACTGTGTTCACACTTGGAGATGATAA